CTGAGGACATGTAGTATATGATTTTTACTTTTAAATTATAATGATGTATTTTATGGAACAGAATGTGGATTATATTAGGGAATATTCTATGTGAGCTTGCGAAGAATATATATTCTGTTATTGGATGGAATATTTTATACATTCATATTAGATCAAGTTGATTGATAGTGCTTTTAAGGTTGCCTGCAAACTTCCTGATTTTTTGCTTGCTTGATTTGACACTTTTCAAGTGTTTAACTATGATAGTGGATTTGTTTATTTCTCCTTTCAGTTCTATCAGTGATTTTGCATTATGCATTTTGATTTTCATTTTTAGGTATATACATATTTAGGATTGTTGTGTGTTTTTGGAATTGTTATTCTTCTATCACTATGTAGTGATTCTCTTTGCCCCTGGCATTAGTTCATCATTGCTATTTGACAAATTTTGTTTGTGTACACAAATAAAGTCAATCAATCAATAACTTAAGGTTATATATTTGTAACTGATAGCAATGGCCATACACTTTAATATATGAAATAACCTTCTAAATCATTATAAAATAAAATATAAAATGCCAGATCTATGAACGATAGACAATTACAAAGTAGGAAATAAAAGGGACCTACCTAAATTTCTGAACATTTATTTGAAATTATTGTAAATTAAAAAAATAACATAAAGAAAGCCCAGCTGAAATAAGTGAACTGTGATTGGACATTAATTCTACTATTAATGAATGGTAAGTAGAATACAACAAAGTAGTAGGGCAACACAACTGTATACCAGTAGTCATATGTGCACTTTTGTGAAATTTCAAATGTGCCTTATTCCACTCTTTCTGTACTCAAGTGCCCACATTCAGAGAGTTGAGAGTGACTGGGGAAAAAATACTTTCTAATTTTCCAACACAGAATTGGTGACCATCAACTTCATGACCATGCTGTCATGTGCCCCCTGGTCTCCCCCCGCCCCCCCAAGTCCACTCACTTTCTCATCCCGATGATGCTTTTATTCTGCTCCAATTCTCCAACTTCCCCGCTTGGACCCTTTTTTCCGCCACGGCTGAGATAGTAAGAGCTCGTGTGAAGGAGCATTATTGCTTTCTATGACCACATTGACCAACATGTTTGCATATGTACCGTGTATTTTCTGTTTGGATGCACTGTTTATACTGTTCTCTGAGGCCAGACGAGCACCAGATGTGCAGTAAAGTGTATTCCTTCTCATCTAAAGGAACCAATGGTATTATTTTGCAAATCTACCTTCTCTCTTCCTAATCATTGCTCTCTGACTGGCCTGCATCATTTCTGCCAATGTGCACATTTGCTATTGTGTAGCATCCCTTCTTAAGAAAAAAAAACAGCAAAAATCTTGATCTCACATTTCCTTTGATATACTGCCCTATTTCTCTACTCTTTACTGAAATGTTCCACAGAAGTCTAGGTTTAACTCTGTTATGTCCAGGTTTATTTCTCTCCTGAACTCACTACAAATGTGACTCTCATACTCATTATTCAAAAATCAATCCTCCTTATTGTTTTAAAGTGTTTACCGAGTTTGGCACTGTTGATCGCTTTATAAGTACTTTATTCACTTAACATTCTCTCTTCATTTTCCTCTAACAATTACTGAGTTATTCTCCTTGGTATCTTTTCCTGTCCCCCCGCCCCCCTAACTTCTAATTTTTGGAGTGTCCAGTATTCAATCCTTGAATTTTCTGTCCACATTAATTTTCTAGGGGACCCCAGGTCCTCTTAGGATCCAAAATACATTGGTCTCACTTGTAAGGTCTTATCTTTGGCCTTGATGTCTTCATTGATCCATCCTTACTTCTGTGGCTTCACATTCTTTTTGACTAATCCTAATCCTCCCTAGTCCAAGCCTTCCTATCTTCCATACTGTCTATGCCATCCTTCCAGTTGCTCACTCAAAAGCCGTGTATATATTCCTGATTCCTCCCTTTCCTTCACAACCCACACCCAAAGCATCAAAAGCACACGCCTGCAGCCACCTCTCCTGTTCAAAGAACTCTATTTCTCACCTGAGGTATTGAGCTGTCTCTTTACTGGCTTTTCTGCCTCCTCTCTTGAACCCCTCGGGTCTGTCCTCATCCCACCAACCAGTATAATCCTTTAAAATGTGAAGTGGAGAGGAAATGTTTTGAGAATGATGAGGGTAATGAATGTACAAATGCGCTTTACACAATTGATGTATGTATGGAATGTGATAAGAGTTGTATGAGCCCCTAATAAAATGATTATAAATAAATAAATAAAAATAAATGTGAAATTGAAATGAATTATTTTTCTGTTTTAAAATATCCTCTTTTTTCCATTCCTCTTACACTCAGAACTGTCCATAGGTCGTAGAAGCCACATATTATTTTATCTCCAGAGATTTCTATCCTCAGCACCCTTCTCCCCGGGGTCTACTTGACTGCAAGCAACCCTTCTTTGCTGTTCTCTGTCCCCACCAATAGTGCTTCAGTCTCAAGGGCGGTGTATTTGTTAGCCCTATGACCTGGAGTCCTCTCCTCTGACCCATGTGGCCCTCTCCCCTTCTCCCTTCAGGTCTTTGTTCAATTGTAAAAGGCTTTTGGTAACTATCTTATGTAAAATAGCATTAATTCACCTTTCATTTCCCTGCCTTCCAAGCAGTTCCTTCTTCTCGCCCAGCATATTGTTTGTGCAGTATTTATAACCATTTGGTGTATGAATGCATTTCCTTATATATTATCAATCTTCATTATCCATGAACTAATGTTAATTGGCACACTGGCTTATTTTGTTGACTATGGTAAACTTAGATCCTAAAACATATTCATAAAGTAAATGCTCAATAAATACTTGGTGACTGAATGGATATTAGATGTGACTCTTTTTACTTATTCTGGTACACTTTTGAATCTGATACCTATATGTGATTCTAAAACTTTCTAAGCAATTGCTTCCTGAAAATACTGCTTTCTCTTATCTAACTATAGCCTGCTTCTGGAACTCATTAGGTGCATTATGGAGTTTTCCAGTATCCTGCATGTCTCAATTGTATGTCGATATTTTCTCTCATTATTTTTCTCTATACCATGTTCTTCATATTAATGAATTCCTTATTATTATCCTCCCTTTCATTGAGTTTATGCCATTTAGTTGATAGTTTGTTTCGGGTTCAGTGATTACAACTTTTGCTTTAAAGGCTTTCAGACCCCTCTTGCTGTGATTTTCTTTTCTTTTTAAAAGCATACTTGTCATTGTTTTACGATTTTAAGACCCCAGACTTTAAGGTTTTTTTTAATGTGCGCAGTTAATTTCATGTATCTAGACTGACGTCTTCTTTTGGCTATTCCGTTTGGGTGTGTCGCAGGCTGGTACTTGGGGCGAGTTTTCTTTGTGATCACATCTTGAGCGGGAGGGTTGGTGCTGTTGTTCGTGTTCTCTTCCTCTTTTCCACTAACCTTCCTTGCTCTGCTACCTCTCTTTCTCTTGAGAAGTTGTTCCACTCCGAAATAGTTTTCCTAGTGATAGTGTGGGACTCTCACCTGACAGTGACATAGGGTGGCTTCCCTATTTAGTGTCTGCTCCATACAGTGTCTTTGCTCAGTTCCTGGTTAATTAGCTATCTGTTTTTTCCATCGTTTCTTTTGAGACTTTCATATAATCAATAGTGCCAGGAAAAGGTTGACAGGAGCATCTTTTAGTGTCCCTTCAGGAGCTGGGAGAATTATCAGGCGTCCGGCTCTATCCCTCCATGGTGAGCATGCCCTTTAATAGCCCAGGGGCCACCCTCCTTTCAGCCTCAGCCTGTACCTGGTGCTGCAGGGCATCTCCACTCACAGCTTTGTATTTCTCTTCAGTAGTGATCTCCTTTATATTTTTCCGTCACTACTGTCAATTTAGAGAAGAAAGAACCTCAAAGTGAGAGCTTGTCAACTTATTGGAAGTCTTATTTAAGTGTTTTGGTTTTTTTAATCTACTTTTGTATTTTCCCAATTGACCCCTTTTATTCATTCCAATTGGTGTCTCTTCTTTCTGATCTTCCGTCTACCTTCTAAGTTTCTGTAATAAGACCTTTGTTTCATTTTGGAGCCCTGGCCTCTAGTGGTTACGTGTTGGGCTGTGGTACCCCAGGTCGGCAGTCTGAAACTTCCCGTTGCTCCCTGGGAGAAAGCTGGGCTTTCTATGCCCACAAAGAACTACCATCTCAGAATTCAGAAACGCACCGGGCCAGTTTACCCTGACTGATAGCGTTGCTCAATGGCAGGGAGCTTGGTTTGGCTTAGTTTTGGTTTATTTCATTGTACTTTTTATCAAGTGGAGATTAAGGTACAGATTCTTTATTTTCCCCATATTTTAAACATAAAAACAATAATTCCCTCATTGACGATGTAAATGAATCAGTCTTGTTGTGCAATGTCTGTAAGCCTTTGTTCCTCCCCCTTCCTTTTCCTTTTTAAAGCTGTATTTATATCTTAACGATAGGCATTATTAGCAGTATTTTAATTTTTTCTTGTTATATGGGACTATTACTAAAAGCTGATTGATAAAGAACTATTCTTTGATTACAGTTACTATTTAGATATGATCGTAACATTCTCAGAGACCAGGCATGTAAGTAGCTGTCAGGAATCTAAAAATTCTAGTTTGGGATGTTGGTAATTAGTAATTCTTGGTTCTTTATCTTTTGACAATCTTAATTAAAAACATTAAGTATCTCATTCTTTATACAGTTTTGCATGTACAATTTTGTAATCACAAGTAAAATGATGTTCTAAAGATTTAAAAGTTAAGTACCTAAATCTGGAAATGAAAATGTTTCTTTCAGTATAAAGTTGTCTTGTCAACAGTTAAATCTTGCTGTCACTTGCCATATGGCTCCTGATTTATTCTGAAAGGCCTGTCAACCCCAGATAATTTAATTTTCTATATTATACAGTGACATTCATAATCAGGATGTGAAAATTTAAAGGATTAGCTAACAAGTATGACTAATAAACGCTCAACATGTACATTTTTGTTTCCAGAGAAAAAGAGAAAGCTGAAGCTAAAGATAGAAAGGTTCTTGAAATTTTGCAAGTCAAGGATGCCAAAATACACGAACTGGAGCAGGTTGGTGTAATAACCGAAACGTAGTCACAGTATAACCTTTGTTTAAGGAACCTTCCAACGGGCTTCAACTCAGCGAGTCCATGGAAAACAGAATGGAGCCCTACCGGTCCAGCATCCTTAAAGTTGTTTTTAATTATTTGTAATAATGTTTGTAAGAATATCCGTGTCGCTATGTTAAAGTACTGCTGTTTTGAAATCACTGAAGTCAATACCATTCTTCATTTTTTCCTTTTCTGTGTAACACATTTCTTTTCTGAATTCATAGGCAGTGCTATCTATACTTTAAAACGATTTAAGCTATGGTGGCATTATAGTGTTATGGTTGTTAAATGCCACCAAGTCAATTCCCCCTCATAGTGACCCTGTATACCACCGAACGCAACCAGTCATCGGTTGGGTACCGTCGTTAACCCACCCTTCCTATGCTTGAGGCCAGTGTTGCAGCCACTGTGTCGGTCAATCTCATGGGAGAGCTCTCTCTCGTTTCACTGGTCCTCTGCTTTACCAGCCTGGTGCCCACACGCAGGAACGGATTCCTCTTGAGGACCGGCCCAAAGCGCAGGAGACGACGTTGCTCTCCTCCCTTTGAAGGGACGTCCTTCTTGGATGCTAACACTATAGCAGCTATTTATTGTTTTGTTGCATGCGACATTTTATTTCTAGCAGTTATCACAAAGATTTTAAATTGTTAAATATTTTACTTGTATTAAAATGTTTAATAATATCTCATATTTTTTTCATCTGGTCCCTGCTAAGGGTGCCTCCTAGAGTTTACCATTAACCCCGACTAAAACCTGCTGCCACCGAGTGGATTCAAACTCACAGCCACCTTATAGGCTAGAGAACAACCCTGTGGGATTCCCAAGGCTGTGGATCTCTGGAAGCAGCCTGCCGCATACCGTATTTTCCCATGGAGTGGCTGGTCAGTTCTAACCAATGAGCTTTGGGTTGGTAGCTGAGTGCTTTAACCCCGGGGCCACACTACCTCCTTTGTTCACCCTTACCAAACCAGACCACTGCTGTCCAGTCAGTTCTGGGGCGGTGGGTGCAGTTCTTTAAACACAGCTCTTCAGTATAGTTCTCCACATGTGATGTTCAAGAAATAAGTTATCACCCTCTACACATTCAACATGCAGTGGTGGGATCGGCATAGGATAGCTGTGTGCAACAGGAGAAAGAGGAAAATTCAAAGGCTTCACTTGGTCTGTAGCAATACTGAAATACCGCTGAGAAAATGTTGGGCAAAGTCTTGCCTGCATCAGGCTGGTTTCTTCCGCAGAAAAGTGCCAGCTGTCTCTGTCTGAGTCTTGTGCCGTCTGTCGTGCCTGCAAGTGTTTCCTGCACAAAACCAGAAAAGTCGCCCAGGCCTGCTTGTTTCCCAAGTTTCGCCTCTGCTCCCCGTGCTGATTTCTCCACAGCCTATGTTGGCGGTTTTGAATTTTGTCCATAGTTCATAATTAGTATATGTAGGTGGGTCAGCTCTAGGGAGCTTACTCCTTCATAGTAGAGGTAGACTTCCCGTCGACCCTTTATTGTTCCACTGAGTAATATTAAATAGCAGTTGAGTTTCTCGATTGTTTATAGGCTAAGAAGTAAATTAACAGGTAAGAATGACAATTCAGTTAGAATATTGAAATATTCTATATTTCTGTTCACCCAATGAAATTACTAGAAAGTTCACAGAAGTCGTTCCTATTCTTGTTTTGTAAGCTGGCTGTAGAAAAATTCCATAGAAATGTGATCTAATATGACTTCATCTATTGATAGCAGTTAGTGTAAAGACTTGTGTACAGTTAGCTTAATTAGGAAAGATGATGCGTTGGTTTATTTAAAATGCAGGAAATAAGTTCTCCAAATATTTCACAGGTACTATGACTTCTCTTACAACCTAATAAGTTGCTTTAATTAGAGGAGAGTTCTCTTTAACTGATGTACTTTCCTTATCTTCTAATAAACTCCAGAATGAAGTTTTGGCTCTCCGTTGCAATTAGTTCTCTTACCTTTTCCCGTCTTCAGTTTTCACTTATCTTTCTTTTAGTTGTTGTGGTTTCATTCCGTCTGCGTTGTTTTTAATGAAAACTTATAAGTCCATTGTGAAAGGAGCTGGACATAAATGATAGATGAACGATTCTCAAGTATTGTCTGATAGTTTTAGTTTTATGTCACTGTTCCTTTTCTCTCCCTGCTGCATGCTATCTCCTTATCCTATAGACATCTCATGACCATCGTCTGAACGATTCATTTCACGTCTTATCCATAGTAAATAATCTGTTCCAGATATGACTTTTCTTGTCACCCTTTATGCTTTATGGTTCCTTGGAGTTTCCTTTGCTTATTTTAATATTAGCTCAAACCAGACCATTAAGAATGTACTCTCTCTTGAGAAGTTTGTGGAAAAGAGTCAGATAGTTAATATTTAAACTTTTAACGATGTATACCCATGCTATCGTGTTTTAAAGTACATCATTGAATATGAATTTAGTTGGAAAATAGTTGAAATTGTATGAAATTAGATTATTATTTATAATTAGATTATTTTTAAAGGCTTAATTTATGGATTCTTTTCTATTGGGAGTACATCGTTGTGTAATTTATTGCTTTACTGATTATACCATATATTATCAGATGATCATAATATAGCTTTGGTTATCCAACCCCTCCTCATTTTTAATTTACAAAATAGATCTAAATTTGCCTTTCAAGATTATTCCATTTACTCTGATGCCAAATTTAGATTATGAACTAATTTTCACAAAATTTTTTGCTTTTTTTGCCATTGATATTGCCAGTGCTGCTTAAATTTAGTGCATAGTTGTGGACAGACTCTGCCAAAACTTGAATCCGTTGTTTTGAATCTAATCCTTAAGAGTAAGTGAGAGTTTCTAAAATTTTGTCAATATTACTTTCAAAGGGTAGTCCTGTGGGTATTTTATAAACATTCTTAATAGTCACATGATTGAATTTATCTTCAATTTCGTTGATATTGCTTGCACTATTTGCTAATCTAGTTATGGAGACAGGATGAATAGATAGATAATTCACCAGCTTATGTGTCAAATTTGTAATAACATAAGAAATAGAGAAATTTAGAAATGACTGAAATGACAAATTATTCAGAAAGTTGAGAAACTTTAATTGAGGTGTCAATTGAATCATGATGGAAGGATAAGACATAGATGAAGAAAAATGATCTGTATTAGTAAACGTACCATTTTAAGCATATATTCTTAAGCTGTTCCACTGAAATCAGACACATTTTGGCATAACCTAATAATTAAAAGAGGAAGCAAAAATTAGAATTACATTGACATAGCACTTGTACTTAATGGATTTGTGATGGAATTTTACCAAGTCTGGGAGTTAACTGCTGTTACGAATATGGAATATCGGGAACTCTTGAAGTGCTCGTAGCCTGTGATTTAAGCCATTTCATTTCTAGATAGCAGTCGGCTAGAACAGTCTTTTTCAGAATTTTTTTTCCTTTGATCCCCACATAGAAGGGAATACATTTATGTCTCGTGACCCAGTATACACACACATGAAATAAAAGCTTCATGTACCAATAGTTGCCCTTACTACGTACAGTAAAGGGAAAACAAAATACAGTTTATGTCAAATGTATATTTAATTATCTTTTAATATCATAGCAGTCGCAAACAATGCAAACACTTAGGAAATCTAGTGTGAGTTCATTCTTTGAGCATAGTTCTTGCTAGGAATTTGTGCCTATCACGCTGGATTAGCTATTGTGTTCTATGCCACTGTTAAGAAGTACTCATTGTGATCATTAAATTAAATTTAAGATCCATCAATAATCTAATCTATAGCTTGCTAGCGACTACCCAGGACAAAATTTTACCCCTGTGTCTCGAGAAATGTTTAAGGGCATGCATTTGCATACTGCTCCCCTCCTCAGAATTGGAACACAGAAGAAACACATGCCATCAGCAGATGGGTAACTGTTGTATATTTATATGCTTGAATATCACGCTCAACTAAGGCAGCTCAAAAGCAGCTGGATCCATCAATATGGGCATATTTGGGAAGATAACATTGAGCGCACATAGCCAGTTATGGAATATGCATAATATTATCTTGTTTATATCAAGTTCAAAAATGGGCAAAGTTCTATGTATATTAAAGAAATATCTGTATGTCAACATATAAAGAAAGGGGAATGGAGGAGGGGACTCAGTATTTCATCATCGTTGTGACCCCTGCAGGGTTAGGAGGTGGTAGGTGTTCTGTGGGGGAACCACAGACTTCAAAGACAGTGGTAAAATTAGGATTCTTAAGTGCATAGTTCTGAGTACAGGCCTGCCTCTTCTGTTCATTATAATTCACACAAGTTACCACAAGTTATTTTTGTAAGTATTCAGTGTTTCAGTGTCAAAACTTGAATTAAACATAACACTTAAAGCCCCTCCCATCTTTTATCCTATTCCTGAATCTTACCCCGATGTTCACTTGGTTCCCAAGTCTTTTGGAGAGGCTTTGATAAAAAGCAAACCCGGGGGTACAAAGTAACTTTCAGGAGCAGATAAGCATTAGTGGTGGGCATCGCTGCTCTTTTCTGCAGCATCACTAAGAGTTGGAATTGACTTGACAATGGATTTGTTTTTTGTTTCTTATTTTGTTCAAAAAACCGGGTCATACTTAAAGCCAAGGGGATGAGTGTTTTTTTTAATGGTGGGAGGGGGAGAAAGGGAAGCTGAGAATTTAGTCCTGGGTATATATATACCAATTTAGGTATCTCTTGCAGTCAGGAAGAATATTGGTTTCAAAATTTTACTGGCCTTAATAAGCTGAAATATATTTACAGAGAAAAATGCTTTTCGTACCAAACAAATTTGTCATGTTTTCTCTTTTAAAAATCATACCTTCATGAAAGTGTAATTGTTTCTTTAAAGGAGTGGTTTTTTAACAAAAGGCACTCAAATGGGAGGTCAAATAATCTTTATTTTAGCTGTGTATTTTCTTTAATTAGATTTGTAAAATTGCCTTAATCCTCCTTTATACAACTTAATTGTGAGAGTTTGCGTCGTGTTTTTTTATTTTAAACGAGTAAGTGCCATCCTTATACATTTCTCTACAAAATTTATGGCGTGTCACAGGAAATGAAAGTGGTGATGCCAATTAATCTTCACTTCTAGTAGAAATCTGAAACCTTTAAAATATATACATTTGTTCCTTAGAAACAGCAGCTCACCAATAATTGTAGCTTTTCCCACAGAGAGAATCAGAACTGCAGCAGGCAATGCATGACCTTGCCCAGCAGAAGACTGCAGTAGATGAGGAAAATGCGCTCCTGAGGAATGAATTCAGTGACTTGCAGAGGAAATTTAAAGATAAAAATCATGAACTTGAGGTGTGTTGACTTGTACATAGTCTCGCTGGTCTGCTGCTTTGAAGTCCTCTTTAAGCTTTGTCAGCCTCTGTGGCACAGAAAGGGACACGCTTGGAGGGAAATTCGCCTGAGGCCCTGCTGTGCCATGCAGTGTTCTCACATGTGAAAAGGCTGAGCTTTAAAGATGCTTTAAAGCTAAGACTCTGAGCTTTATAACTTTCAGATAAATAGTTAATGATGGAAATGGAGCTAAGAAAGTAGGAGTGTGAATATGTGGCTTCTCGTAATTAGATTCTGATGGGACTGGCATTATTAATTGATAAAACCCAGGTCTGGGAGGATATGTCTGTGTGGGTCTCAAAAATAGCTGGGGACAGCATCAAAGGCAGCTTGATCAATTAATGGGCTCTTTGCAAATGTGTACTCATCAAAGCTGTCAACCAGTGGAAAAATATGACCCATCCACCTGCATGAAAAGAGGCCAATAAAAGTACACAGGTGACCTTGGCTATCAAATGGAGAAGCTGCTGCGGTGAAGGTAAAACTGCTTAGTTTATATTTGCTGATTACTTCTCACCCCCCTCCCTTTTTTTTTGGTTTATCGGCCCGGTGGTGCTGTACTGCAGGACACTAAGGAGTGTGTGCAGAAGGGAGAGCAAAACAGGCTGGTGATAAAAAACCTGGAGGAGGAAAACGAGAAATTAAGTGCACACTGCGCCGACCTGCTAAATGACCTGGAGAAACTGAGGAAGGAAGAAGCACACTGGAGAAAAGAAAATCATAGCATTGATGCCAAGATTAAGGTAGGCAATGCGCACAGAGCAGGCTTCTCTCTTAGGCTTCACTTCTGACAAGATGTTTAGTACATGTTATTTTCCTTACATAACAAGTTAGATATTCATATCTACCAGTGGGACTGGCATTAATTTACATGCCTTCACTTAAGACCCACAGCTTTTTAAAAATTGATGTTGCAAAGCCGGAAACTGACTTCAGATGGTTTTCCTAAAATGTAATCATTAAAAAATAAAGCAGATTGCATTTTGAAATAAAATATGATTTGGAAATATATATATATATATATATATATATATATATATATATATATAATCATAGGTTTTGAACATTTTCAATTAGAGCTGAAATTTATAAATATAATGAGAATTCATGGCAGTAAAATTTGAAGATTATTTACCCAGTTCCTTTATGACATAAAAGCACAAAGTGCTTAAATACTCATAAGTGTTTAGGTACTGTGCTCTTTTTGACTTCTTGGGACTTTCTTTGTTCATAACACAATTTTATTTTAACTAAAAGATTACACTTACTCAACTCACACACTGCTATCAACTTAATTCTGACTCACAGTGACCCCTGTGGGTTACTGAGACTAACTGTTTACGGAGTAGAAAGCCCAGTCTTTCCCTCAGAGCTGTTGGTGGTTTTGAACTGCTGACCATGTGAATCGCAGCCCCACACTTTACCACTACACCACCAGTTAGAATCTGTTTTTATAATACTCTTGCATTGTTTTTGATTAGTACTTTTTTTACAAAAAGGACTTTTGTGGCTTTTTTTGTATCTTAAGAATATTTATTTCTCTTTATCGTTGATTTTATTGGAAGGCTAGAAATAAAATTTAGTACTCGTAAATGGCAGTTGTTTTGTATGCACTATAAAATAATATATAACATAGACACATGCATATAATTATTCCGTGTTTATACAAGTGTATTGTGTAAATATAAGCTCCTTAGTTATGTGTGTATCTAAGCATATTATGAGTTTGTCTATGTAAGTGGGTAAAGGCACATGCATGCTGGACAGTGAATACGGAAGCCCAGAGGGTTAATGCCCTTGAATTTTGGTGTTATAGACAAACTTTGAATGCCGTCTGTAGATTACCGGAAGAATCAACACATCTCTCTTGGGAGAAGTGCAGCCAGAGTGCTCCTTAGTCTGGAGCTCCTTGGAACTTTGGACTTGTCAGGAGGGGCTAGTCCTTGGAGAAGGACCTTGTCCTTGATAGAGGGTTAGCAAAAAAGAGCAAGACCCTCGGATGGATTATGACAGGGGCTGCAGCGATGATTTAGACACGCAGGAACATTGTGAGGCTGGCACGGACCCGGTAGTGTTTTTGCTCTGTTGTCCAGGGGGTCACTTAAGTTAAGAGCTAAGAGAAGTGTTTTCCGGAATCTGTGAATCAGTCCCTTTGAGGGATATAAGGAAATACATGAAAAATTTTCATTGTACCAAGCTTTGACTCAGACCAGGAGAATATTGAATTCTGGAACATGTATTGTCTTAGTTTTTATTTAAAGTTTGTTCCACTATAAACCTTAAATAGTTTTGATAGTGTGAAAAGAATAAATGGTGTTTCCATCCACTAATTCATAGCTACATCAATATTAGATAATGAATTTCATTTTTTTATTTCTCATTCAAACAATCAGTTTTATGACTTTATTCCAGTGAAGTGTATCATTATCTCAAAGACACAACAATAATTGGAAGCTTTTTAAAAAATACTTTTATTGGGGGCTCTTACATCTCTTATCACAATCCATACATTCCTCCAATGTGTCAAGCACATTTGTACCTATGCTGCCATCGTCATTTTCAAAGTATTATCTTCCCACTTGCGCCCTTGATATCAGCTCCCCATTTCTTCCCCCTTAAACTCTTTTAATCTACAGATTTTGCCCCTCCATTTTATTCCTTTGTTGTGCAAATAGTTTATCATTGGAATAATCCAGGACATTTGTTCCTATTAAATGCCCATGGGCTAGGTTTTCCTGATTGCACACTTATGGTCCACTTGGTTGCACATTGTTCCTTTGTGTCTCGTTTCCGACTGTTGCCATTGATAAGACGCGCTGGTGGCATAGTGGCTTACTTGTTGGGCTGCTAACTGCCAGGTTAGAGATTTGAAACCAGCAACTACTCCACAGACGAAAGATGAATATTTCTATTCCCATAAAGACTTAAGACTTAGAACCACCTGAGCAGTTCTACTCTGTACTATCACTCTCTCACTGCCACCAAGTTGGCTCTCACTCACAGTGACCCTAGAGGGTAGGGTGGAACTGTTCCTGCAAGTTTCTGAGACTATACCGCTTTAACAGTCCCAGGTACAAGGGAACAACAAGCGATCCAAATTGGTGGGGAGGTGGGTGTGGGAGACCTGGTAGGGCATGATCAAGGGGAATGCAACAAACAGGAAGCGCTAAAATCCTGGTGGGGACTGAGCATGATAGTGGGACAGGAGGAGAATCAAGGGAAATAGAGGAAAGAGCTGGGAGGAAAAGGGCATTTATAG